GCGTTTGAGCTAATGTCGGTCAAGTGGCCGCAGCAGGTGGCGTTGTTAGGCCGGAAAAAATCCACTTTTTTACCCATCACAGGCATACCATCGGCATAATCATGAAGGTAAGCAGACAAAAAACCGGACCTATGCGCGGGCTGTGTTGTGTGCAAATTTCAGCGAAGTCGGTGCAGTACTTTCGGAGATTAGATATAACACAGAAAAAAACCTTCCATTTATATATATATAGATTGAAAGTCTGCGTGAAAATTGCACTCTAGTCAAGTAGTCATTTTTTACGGTTGTGGTTTCTGCAGGAGGCCGGAAAGAAGCGTATTCAAAGACCGACATCCCGGTGAGTCCGAAATATTATAGGGTCATGCCACACGATAATCAATATTACAACCCCAGCTAGGTTATCCTGCCTTGTTGAGGATTTCGGTCAACATTTCATGGGACCGGTGACTCACTGTACTGCACTGGCCAACGCCACCCGCCTAACCTACTAGGTTCTCGACGCGCTTACCATTCTTATGATCGTCACCTCCAATGTTGCAATCGGCGCGATCCTTCAGTAAAATTTTGCAGGTCATTCCAAACCCCTAGGTTTCTTCTCCGGAAGCTATGACCTCCCGAATCGCGCTATGGAATAGTTGAACGGGCGTTTTTGGCCGTCTGTTTGACAGTGAAACACTTTGGGCACCGCTTAAAGGATAGGCACTCCATCATCTTCATCTATCATAAGCCGCACTCGGACAAGCTAAATCGCCGGGAGATCTGTCAACTCGACTGATCTCCCAGTTCATCTCAGATGTCTGTCCTATAACGGATCTCGGTATGATGTGGATGCTGCAGGTTGTCAGTCTGTCCTCTTCTGCTTTCCCCGAGATCAACTTCGTTGAAGGACAACGCTGGAGAACAACGTCGTCCAGTTCCCCGCGTGAGGAGGCGTATGTGGACCCCAAGTCCAGAAATTGCCTCTCCATACTGACGGCAACACCATCCACGTGATATCTCCATTAGATCCTCCCTCTGTCGGTATGTTCTCCTCACTGAACAACCTCACCGTAGGAGTCAACCCATAAATGAGCTGATCACCGACCCCTTTGTCTGGTCTGGTATACATAAGGACCTGGAGCATCGGCATTGGACATTTCTCTTTTGTCAATGGAGTAAGGCCCTGGGGTACAAAAGGTCCACTCGGCACTACTCGCAGCCCTGGTATGAAGTTTAGTCACTTCCAACTGGACATTGTGGGCCTCATGCGTCTGTGAAATGGTCGTTCCTACACACTCACGTGAGTGAGCCAATTCGTTCGGTGCCAGATGTCGGGGCTCCAACGGGAGTCAGGATATTTTCAGCTGCCGGAGTGTCCCTTTAATCATTGTGATTAACTGCGGTACACGGTCTGCGTGTTTTCTCTATTTTTTTGGGGTGTACGCATATCTAACCAACAGCAACAGCAGTAGCGGCATCAACAACGACAACAGAAACCAGCCACCCGTACCCCAATAACATGGCCGAGTGGTTTCAACATCATCTATAGACCTTCCAGCGCGTCGCGGAGGATTCAGAGAGTTTGACCGACCACCTTACCCTGGTCCTACCGGGACTTTAACTGCTCCGTGCGATGTGACCGGGTCCACCGACCACTGGAACCATCCAGCGACGGGCTTCTTGGGATATTTCCTCGAGGGACACGGATATTACTAATCCAGCGCAGTGCTCGTGAGAAGATCGTGAGCGTTGACTGCCTCCAAGTTGCTGTTTCGAACACTGCTTCGGCTGAGCCCTGTGGTCTCCTATCCGCTGCTCCTCCACCTCACCTATCCTCTACCCGTCCACCTACTCAGACCCTCATCCCAAAGTCTCCGCTGCCTGCAACTGCGACGCTATCATCCTACTTAAACTCTCTCACACTAAGATCTCTTCGTCCCCGACAATATTACGCTCAATGAGCCTCGTGTTCACTTTCCCGACCATTCGATTATTCAAGTTATTTGGGCACGAATAATCCTACCATCGGCTCCAGTCCAGCCCATGGTAACTTGATCTCATTGTCGCCGTTGCGTCCGCTTCCTTTCGCCGCTTTCGAATCACTTAACGTCCCATGTTAAATGAATGCTTGTGCCGTCTGTGACTTGGTCTCCGCGTGATGACAGTTTGACGCCAATCGACGCAGTCCACTTTGCTGATTGGTTGTAGGCGGGGAGACCTCGGACGCACGTGAGCAGTTTACACTGCCGCGAACAATGCCGACGGCTGGCACTCAGCCTGCGAGAATGCTTGCCATCGTTGCATACTTAGTGGCTTAACGTACTTCGGCAGTATCGCTTGGCGCTTGTGGCAAATTTGTCCGCTCTTGTGAAGATTAACAGTGTTCTCACCGGTAACACGTTCAGGGAATCAACGTTGTCCTCACATCTCCTGGAACAGTGAGGCATGCGTTTATATGCACCGAGAATCACCCTTTTTGTAGATTTCACTTGGAATTGAGTTTGTACATTGTTCTGCTGCTGGCCATCTGGTGCAGGGTTCTGACAATCTTCAGAGGAAGGACGGGCGACCGATCTGAGGATTGGCCTCCATTCGAAAAAGTTTGCTAATGGCTACCTCATATTTTATTGGTGAATGATTGAGAAAACATCCTGAATTTCGACCCCCGTTTCATGATCTGCGATTTCTTCGTCAGTGTAAATAGATGAACGTAGCCTTATTTTAAGCAGTGTTATTATCACAGACAAAAGATAAGCATTTGACTTTATCCCGATTTCAGTCACAACATTTTATCATCATGGACGTCGTCCTTGTCGTCATCGTCTTTGAACCAGTCTTGGTGTTTCTGGCGTGCACGTCCAGGAACCCCATCATCATCATCATCATCATCATCATCATCATCATCATCATCATCATCATCATCATCATCATCATCATCATCATCATCATCATCATCATCATCATCATCATCATCATCATCATCATCATCATCATCATCATCATCATCATCGTCGTCGTCGTCGTCGTCGTCATCATCATCATCATCATCGTCGTCGTCATCATCATCATCATCATCATCATCATCATCGTCGTCGTCGTCGTCATCATCATCATCATCATCGTCGTCGTCATCATCATCATCATCATCGTCGTCGTCATCATCATCATCATCATCATCATCATCACCATCATCATCAGCAGCAGCAGCAGCAGCATCAGCAGCAGCAGCAGCAGCATCAGCAGCAGCAGCGACCCCCATGCATTCCACAGTCTCTGTACATTTGTAGTCGACGTCTCCAAATTTCATTACATTCCCCACGAAGGACTTGGTAGTATTCCCTTGGACACGGCTGCTAAGACATCCAAGACCGAGTTCCACCATCGATCCCAAATTCGGTTCACTGAAAAAACCACAACACTTGGTCTGCGTGATTGCATATGGTCGTTGCCATGATGGCGAGGGGAAGGGCAGCCGTGACTGACTATTCATAAAACCTTTACTCTCATGAGCCAACACACGGCTGTTTTAATGCTACTAACTGAAATCGGCTCGACAACAAGCTTAAGGACGGTAATGAGGAGTGTAAGGAGCCGTCTTTGGTGAATGTTCTTGTGCATTGTCAAGAAGATGGCTTCATGTAGAGATCCGCTTTGTCTGGTGACTGGTCGAAACTTGTAGAACGAACTACAGTCAAAGAAAAACTATTTTTTCTCCGTAACCGTGCCACCACAGTACATCCGGTTGGGGCGATGGACTCCTTCGAAGATGTCCTTCAGAGTAGAGAGTTTCTGTCGAAAAACGCCGCTGCTCTCTGTGGGCGGAATTAACGGGAAAACCTAGTGAGCAATAACTTTTCCAACGTAACTCAGTGAGGACTCCGCAGCCCAACCAAACGGACAGCCACCGTTGTTAAGCTCGAAACTAATCAGAGCGTTTCCTGTGCGCCCAGCCGAAACTCTGAAAGGCGTTTTCGATTAGAAACGAGTACTTAGGTGGGGTTGCAGTATTAATTATTATGCGGCAAAATCCCATAATATTCCGGTCTCTCCAGAATGCTGGCTTTTAAGTGCACTTCTTCGCGACCTTCAGTAAAAACCACACTCGGTAAAAATGACCCCTTAAGTGGTATGCGTTTTTCACATTGATCATCAATGGCCTTACAAATTCAAATATATTTTATGAAAAATATGCAAAAATATGCCCCCTTTATCCATTTAGTTGAAAATCACCTTGTGTTTGCTTTTTATACTAGAAGAAAGGGCATATCTAGGACTTGAGGAAGTTTTCAAATTCCGAAATAATCTTGAGCCAAATCAGCCGTTGCATTAGCGTGTGGCGATTTCGGTCTACAAGGTGTATATTTTTCACATAAGGAAACTCCTTTATCCCTCTACGCCTTTAAGAAAATTCCATGTACGGTTCACAAGATTCCGCAATGGATGCGGACTATGTTAAACATTTTATAAGAAGCATTAATAAACTGGCAGGGCCGATGTTGCATGTATGCTGAATGCATGGTCTTAAAAAATCTCAAAATAAGGCACTTTTTAAAAACAAAAGGCACTCTTTCTTCGAGCATAAAATATGAAGAGGATATGGTCCGCCACAAAATGAGGAAAAGAAGGCCAATTTTATATATTTTTTCTGTAAAATATAGTTGTATTTATAAGGCCATTGCTAGTCAATGTAAAAAACGCACGCCGCCTAAGTGGTCATTTTTTACCGAGTCCGGTTTTTATAGGAGGTCGCAAAGAGTTGCATTCAAAAGCAGACGTTCTGGCAAGTCCGATATATTATGGGATTTTGCCGCGTGATGGTTTATACTATAACTCCAACTAAGTCATCCTTCCTATTCAAAAACACAATTTTGAATTCCGGCTAACATTCCATGAGAATGGTCATTCACTATGCCTGCGCATGTATAGAACGTGACCTATCTCATGAAATCTGATAGCAAAAACTGGTTAGAGAATTTCTGGACGTCTTTAACGCGGCGCATTTTGTTCGCTCACCCATGTCCTTTAATGAAACGTCCTTTTCTTGTGCAGAAATTATGTTTACGTAATTACATGAAGTAAAATATCAGTAAATTTTAGCGAAGACAGACGTTGAAATATATTCGTGCAATTTCCTATGCTGATACATGTCCTAGACTCTAGTTACGCATCTGAGCGACTTTTTCCTTGAAAGGATAGTAGTTTAACCTCGAGATTTTGAAAAAACAGATTTATCCGGACTAGAAATTTTATTTCATGTCCGATGTCAATCGTGGTTATCAACCTGCTAACAAAAAGGTTATTTTAAGAGAACCAGAGGTTTTATCAAGTTCTAAGCGTTCAATTAGCAGATCTGTGCGATTTGGTGCCCTAAAGTGCAATAATAACGAAGATAGAGATTCGTTCGTTTAAGTGGGCTGAAATTTTGTTTGCCGTTTGAAAACTTCTACCTGATGTCACATAGATGACCACCACGGAATGGTCATTTCCAGTTTTAAACATAAGACACACTACTTTTTGATTGTTTTAGGTTTTGGGCATACTTTTGTAGAAATAGAACGAGCAAAATATTTTTAGTTTCCTCAGAATATCAGTATTTATATGGGCGTTCTGCCGTGCATTCATAATCGAAGAACGGAGCCTAAAGCAAGCAAAAACAGTGGAAATGACCTCAATGTATAAAGAAAGGCATGTTCTTGCGTTTACGGTAAAAAAATATTAGTATTACTTAGGAACGTGAAAGAAACCGTCAAAAGTGTCAAATTTTTACTTGGCCTCGCCGTGCAAAAATGCAAAGTACACCGAGATCCATCGACGGAGTGCAGTAATAAAGCACTTCCTAGAGAGTTAACTTATGAAGGAACTTCTTCTTATTGATCGAAGACATATTTGTTGCTGACCCTCGTTGTGGACAGACATTTTTCTCGAAAATGAAGTTTGATGTTTGAATTAGTCTTCAAATGTGACCCGAACGACCATCTTCGTGAAAAGGAGCGCCTGAACACTCACTAATTCGGTAAATGCCTTCGAGAAAAATCTTACTTTAGAGTTTTTAACAGACAGGTAATTCAGAATCTGTCTTTACGGGCGATCGGGTTAAAACACTGAAAATCATGAAGTATTCAGCAATATTTCGAAGCAGATCTGAAACTCGGCGTAATCCAAAACGAAGGCAAAGTATAAATTAATTTAACGGAAGAAAGTTCTCTCCATAAACACAAAATGGTATGGTTAAGATCACGCCTGTCAGTTCTATTTAAATTTATTAGGCACCGACCGGCCTCATGGCATGTCATCTTATGAAAACGTTTGATCCTACGACGTCCCCATCGGCGAAATCAAGCAAAATCCAGCTTCTCTTGTTGAACCTCATCCGACTTAACTCGAAAAATAGAGGAACTTATGGAACACTGGAAAACTGTTTTGGAATCTGCACCCAGAATGTAGGCAGTTGACAAGCCGTCATATATGAAGTCACACTTTTTATTAGACGATATTTAGATGTTAACTTCACTAAAACATTATTATTAGACGTTATTTTATGTCTAATTTCATATTTACTACGTGTTTGGTATGAGAATACATTCTATACATCTAAAAACGAACTTTACTTAATTAGAACCATTTCTGACGTTTTCGGGATATCGCGCTTTTCAAAATAAATCGGAATTTCTAAACAACACAACACTGTCATTAATGTTTCTGTTATGTTTTTAATTCTTTTAAACTTGTAGTTAATTAACATAGAAATCGGACGCATGAAATGGTGTCGGTTTGCTACTGACTGGCAATAATTCGTAAATTTCGACACATTTCATCAGTTAGGTCACTAACTGTACTTACGTGTGAAGGCACACTTAGTGCACATAAATACGGCTGGTAACGCCGTCGGACAAAGACAAGTCGACATGACTCTTGACAAGGGAAAACATAGTGCAGGGACGTTCAGTCACAAATCGCCTGTTGAACACTGGCCAAACCGTGGATCCAATGTCTGACTACTTGTGCGGACCGTATTACACCTAAGTTGCGCTAAGTACAATGCGTGACCGATCTCATGAAATGTTGGCCAAAATTCTGGAATGCGTTTCCGATTACGAAGGATTACGTAAACGGGGTTGTTATACTGATTATCATGCAGCATAACCCTAAAACACGTCGAACTAACCAGTATGTCGTCTTTTGAAAGCACGTCTGTTTGACATCCTGCAGGAACCATACTTAGTAAAAAATGACTGCTTAAGTAGTGTGCATTTTCCCATTGATTTTCGGTGGTCATATAAATTCAAATGTATTTTAAAGAAAACATGCACAAAATATGCTTTTTTGCTCAATTGGAAGGAAATCACATTGTCTTCATATTTTATGCCTAAAGAAAGTGTATACCTAGGTTTTAAAAATGTTTCTAATTATGAGATTTTGAGGGCCGTGCGATGTCAATGCATGCAAGACCGCACATGTCCGTTTACTATTGATCCTCATGAAATGTACAACACAGTCAGCATCCATTCCAAAAGTTCATGAACTCTATGTGGTATTTTCTTAAAAGCATGGGGGAATATACGATTTTCATTACGCGGAAGGCATGCGCCTTGTAGACTGTAATTGGTAAACGCTGATGCAATGACAGATCAGGATGAAAACATTCGGATATTGAGAAGCATTTTTAAACCTAAATACATACTTTCTTTGGGTATAAAATATAGAGACAATGCGATTTACTTCCAAGTGAGCAAAAGGAAGCGTATTTTTATGCGTGTTTTCTATGAAATACATTTGAATTTATAAGACCATCGAAAACCAACAGGGAAAACGCATGCTACCTAAGTAGTCATTTTTTACCCAGCACGATCGAAAAGAAATGCATTCGAAAGCCGACATCCCGGCGAGTCCGAAATGTTATGGGGTTATGCTGTAGGATAATCAGTATAACAACTCCATTTAAGTAATCCTTCCTACTCGGAAACGTATCCCAGAATTTTGGCCAACATTTCTTGAGATCGGTCACGCACTGTAGTTGATATGACACGTTTCGCCCTCCCTCGAGCCAAGTCGGACTACCCCTTCCATTCTGTTTATCATACAGCAAGTCAGACTTGTTAGAGACTGTCCAAATAGCACTGTCAGCGTTACATGAACACGCAAAACTGTTTGAGGTTAAGTAGGGAATCCTGGCTTTCGGCGAAGTCATTATCTACTACTCCAGTCACCCCTTTTAAAATGATTTTTACGCGGGGACTTGGCAGTTGAATTTTCTCACTCTTCCACTTTACTTGGTACTGAGTGAGCGAAAACTGAGGATGTCTCTTAACTGCGATAGCTTTCACCCACAATGCATCCATGAGACCTAGCTGGAATGGAAAAAGGTGGCTTAGAGTTCAAAGA